GAACGTGCTTAGCAGAACTTAAAACAGAAAGTCAGGAAAAAAGGAGGCAATGCTGCGGTAGTGGAGAATGCCAAGGTGTATGGTGATCCCGCGGAGTATGATAGTCCCATCACTTGCTCATTGAGAAGGTAGCCATCTTTCTTCACTTCTTCGCCAAATCCAGCTCAAATCCTGCATAAAATCTGTATTCAAATGGGGGTGCAAGCTCCAGCCAGCTTTGTAATTGTTCCCATCTATGAGGCCTAGCCCCTAAAAAAATTGCATCGCATCGTGGGTGTTACACTAGGTCCACAATATCAGCGCAAATGACGTTCATCGATCTCATTTGCAAGACCTAATGACCTTGGATGGTCTTGACCGTGAGCCCCCAGCGAAGTCACATCACCATAAGTTTTAGTATATCATAGTCCTGCAATGCCTACTCCAACGACTGCAAGTTCAATATATGTAGGGGTGTCAAAATTTGACACGACACGAAAATCCGACCCGGACCCGATCCGGAAAATTCGGGTTGGACCCGACCCGATTTCAAAACGGGTCAGGTTCGGGTTGACCCGACGGGTTGCCGGGTCAACCCGCAAACCCGCTGTCTCGCAACCAATTCCCCCAAAAATAAAAAGTTCAAATTAAAGCTCAATTTAAAATTTATTTCGCTTAATTTAAATCATTGTCTCTTGAGATAAAAAGTTCTTTGAAAGTAGCAAAAAAATAATAGCAAAAAAACGGTCACAAATTAAGCCTAGTGTCTATTTGGGATAGTTATAACAATTTATAAAGTTGATTATAAAATTATTATAGAAAAGAAACTTTTTTTTTAAAGTTGTTTTGATTAAAAGAGCATAATTAAGTGACACATTTAATCGATAGGGCTCTCTACTTGCAATCATAAGTGATGAATAATTCATTGGTTTCGCTATTTTATCCCATTCACATAACTTTTCAAGATACAATCACCGTCAGGGGCGGATCCAGCTTCTTTTCTCAGGGTGGGCAAAAAAAATTTTTTTGGTGGGGATGGACAAAAATGCCTAGGATTGATAAAATATGGGCAAAAAATATTTTTAAGGGGGGGCAAAATGCCTAAAATACTCAAAATATTCCAAAAAATCTCCTATAAATATTAAAAAAAAAAAAATTAGGGTGGGCATTTGCCCACCCTAAGACTAGGGTGGATCCGCCCATGATCACCGTCGTAAAAGTGTTCTATCACAAACAAGCTTAGACTTTATTTGGGACGGCTTTCTTACTGCTTCTTAAAACAGTGTTTTAGTACTTTGTTTTAAGAAGCAGTAAGAAAGCCGTCTCAAACGAAGCCTTAATTTGAGGGTTTGAGCATAAGTTTAATTATTAAACAAAAAAATATATCAGCGTTTAAGAGTTCTTCCTCATTGCACTTAAAATATTATATAATATTTAAGTTAATATTCTATATAAATAGTATTTATAGGTAACCCAATCACCACCATTTAAGAATTTGACTTGTCTTAGTTGCAATCTCAAAGCATTACATAATTTTTATCTTCTTTGGGATTCTGCTGCAAGCTACCCCTTTTATACATAATTAGTGAGTGCTTTGAGAGCTGGTTAAACACTATTTACAAGTTTTCTTAAATATATATTCTCCAAGGCAAAAAAAAAAATCTAATCTCCTTTAAATTAAGCAATTAAGGCTTTGTTGGGTAGCTTTCTTACTACTTTTAAAATAAATTTTCTGTACAAATACTCTTTAAACTAAGATCTCATTTGAGACAGCTTTTTTACTATTTTCTAAAACAATTTTTTACTATAGCAATTTATTAATTTAAAAATTTTTATACTAAAAAATTATTTTAAAAAATATTAAGAAAACTGCCCCAAACGAAACCTAAAGTAACTTTTTAATACTAAAATTTTTTTTAGTAGCTAGAAAGCTATTTTAGGAAGAAATAAGAAAGCTTCACGGGATAAAACTTAAGAGAGATAAAGGGTGGGTTATAAGAAGGGCATTATTTATAATATATGACTCATATTAATATAGTGCAGCCATGTCAGAGCTGCTGTTGAAAAATAATATATATGATTCATATTAATATAGTTATTTAAATTGAATCAATTTTTTTAATTTTTTCCATCAAATGGAGACTAGCTCTTTTTTTTTTGTTAAATTTTCAGCCGGAGCTTAACTATTTTTTGGAATTGAAAATATAATAATTATTTATATCAAATTTTTATAAATTTTCTTTTTTAAAATAAAGCTAGTTCAAGATGAAAAATATATTTAAAATTTATACAAATTCATTTACGTGTGATGAACACAAATTTCGCAATCTATTGTTAAATCAATATTTTTAATTAAATCAATTTGTTCAAAATTTGGTCAGATCATAGTTCAGCCCAACATTCATTATATTAAATTTTGTAGATTTGATATATTATAATCAAAATTTGTAGATTTGAATTTATCCTATGCAATATAAAGATATGTAATATTTGGTATCAAAGAACTTTTATTACTAGTGGCATCCACTAAAGCTTGCTCGAGTCTCAAATGAGCTAACAAATTAGATCACTCGATGTTATAAATATTGATGGTCACGAAAGCATGGCAAATTGTGAATATTATTACATTCAAAGGTGTTGATGAAGAATAAAGACATTGGTGGTGATTGTATTACCGAACCTAGTTGGATATTTGTTCATAAAAGGTTTGTTGAGATAACATGTCATTTGGTTTTTTAGGATGAGTGATCTCTTGTTGGGAAGTCACAACAACATAACAAAACTGTGAGGCCTTAGGCCAAAGCAGATAATATCTTGATAGATAAGAGTTTAGACTGTTACAAATAATATTAGAGAAATACATCAGCCGTAAGATGAGAATTAAGTACCATATAAGATAGAGTGTTATGTCATGGCAGTCACCTCTTGAATTCTAAATGTGACAGAGTGCTATGTGGTGGGAGTCACCACTTGAACTTATAGAAGTCGCCTCTAGAATATTATTTACATAGTGGATTATTATGAGATAAAAATACTGACGAGGATGTCAGTTACTTAAGTGGTGGAGATTGCGAAACCCCTTAAATAAAAAGAAGCTAAACTTTTAAACATCAAGCTGCATTTTAGTGCAATGATTGGAATTTCATTTAAGAAATTTTGCAGTTAAGCGTGCTCATCTCGAAGAAATCTTGGGATAGACGACCTCCTGGGAAGTTATACTAATATGACAAAATCGTGAGACTCTTAAGCCAAAATGGACAATATCTTGATAGTTAAGACTTTGGACTGTTACAATATATACTTGCATCTTCTTTAAATACCACATCTTGATCACAAGAACTAGTTCTTAGATGGCGAGGACTAGCAAGAAATTCAAAGAGAGTTTAACTTATGTTGTAGATCTAGTCACACCATCACATGGAATCATTTACAGAGTTGAATATGTATAGAAGAGAGATAAGAGAAAATTGAATGACTGAGGCATTATGAACATAAGCTCATGAAGAATTTATAAAAGATGTTCATATTTTAATGTTCATGTTGCATTTTGATTCTTGATGTGTTGGCTATATAATTAATTTTATCTTCCCATTCTTTTGATTGTGTTGCTAGGATGATGTAGTAGTCATTATACACTCCATAAAATTATTATAAAGTAGAATATTTCACTTTTGATTGTTAAATCATACATTATATTCACATGTTTTTAAAGAACCTTTTTCAAATAATGTTGAAGCCAAGACATACAATTTATATCAATTTGTTAGTTGGAGCATCACCTTGACAAGAAAAAGGTAACATTATAGTGATGATTCATAGTACAAACAATATCAATCACAAACTGAAATAAATTGGGAATAAAATAAAGATTATATATAACATCATAATTCCTGTGATGTAGTCTATATAGTATAGTATTAGTCTTTGTTGTGCAGTGATATGGAGCATGTGAAATCCTTAAATTTTCAATTTATGTTTGAAAAAAAAAAATTTTGTGCTGTTAGTCCGGACGAACCTGGAATCATCGGGACGAACCGTCTGGACAAACTGAAGAAAATGTTGAAAATCTGTATGGTTCGTCTGGACGAACCTGGGATCATCGGGACGAACGGAACAGAGAGCATCGTCTAGGGACAAAACAAATTGGAATTAATTTTCGTCTGCACGATGGAATTTAAGAGGAGATTGTCCCGGGACGATCGGGACATCGTCCTGGACGATCCTGTTTGATAAATATATGAATAGTGTCATTTTTGAAGAGAGAGAAAGCCGAGGAGAGACAAAAACGAAGGGAGAAGAAGAAAATCCGCGTTTTGGGTGACTTCGGTCCGTTTTCGTCCGTCGCCGCAGTTGGGAAAGTTGATTGCCTCTAGGTAAGGCATATTCCGCCTTTCTCAATTGTCAGAAATGTGATTTTTGACGGATTTTCTCTTTCAAATTCGTTTTCCGTTAGCGAAAAATGGGTATAACTTCGCACCAGTAAAACTTTTACCGCGTAACTTTTGGTATGTTATAGAGATTATAATTTTGCATGTTTTGAGTATTTTCTGGAAGTTTTTTATCTGGTATTTTGAATTCTGCAGTGTTTTAATCGAATAACGAAGTATATGGATGTTGAAATATGTTGCTTCAGTACAATGAAAGTCTTATATTGATGTTTTGTACTATCTGTGGTAATTTGTGAATTTTTGTTGACACCAAACAAAAATGCCACGTTGCGCCCCGACGCCCTGACGACTCGACCGCACCGAATAATTTCCCTCTCTCTTGGTATATCTCATTACCATGTGTCATTGATATATATTTGATATATATATTTCTTTTACTTTGAATATTATATTGATAGCCTATAGCAAATATATTTTGATCCTAACTTACCCTTTAAACATAAATTTTTAAAAAATAAAATAAATAAAATATTTCCTTAATTTTGAATATTATATCGAATATGCTGTTCTTAATATCTGCACGACTGCACGTGTTGAATTTCAAACCTGTTTGAATTTCAGGCGGAACAAATCTCATCCGCCTTCGCAGTTAACATGGAATTAAAAAGTTCATAAAGCCTATTCAATTTGAACTCATTAGCGAAGCGGACAGAAAACCGGATCTGATTATCTGAGGCCTGTTCTTACTTGTTTCTCTACTGCTGTTGCCATGGGAGAGCTCTTCTAAACCCTAACCCTAGCTCCCGGCGGTTCTCCCGCCTACCATATCCTCGATATCTTTCCCCGCCCATCAGTCGGAAGAGCGGCCGCAGCGGAGTCAGAGTCGGGATGGAAAATCACAAGAGAAACGTTCCCCGTCTTCGCGTTCGCGTGACGGCGAAGAAGCGGGGGAAGGAGCAGGATTCTTCTGCAGGATCCTCGAAAAAGCCGCGGGAGCGAGAGTGTGTGAATTCGGTCACCAAGCTCCAGCGGCGCGAGATCGGAGGGTTCCCTAGAATCGCGCGGGGCACCTCGTCGAATGCACCTGAGAAGTTCCGGAACATACAGCTCCAGGTTTGTTCTGCTTCGCAACCCTCTCGCGCAATCTTATTTTCTTACAATTTGCGAGGTGTTAGGGTTTAGTTTCCGGGCCTTCCGGATTTTGATTATGAATTGTCTCAGTTCATTCTGGATTGGCATCATCTTGCCACGGCTGCTGTCAAAACTCCTGGTTGTGGTAGCTTGTTTGTTCGTGCGTTATGATTTAATAGCACGGTTGGACGTAGTATTAGGGTCTATCTCTTGAGATGGAGGAGGAATGGGATGCGAGTATGGTTATGAGTTTTTATGGCTTTTTCATTCGATATTGGCCCTTGGTCTTTTAGATTCGTCACAATTAGATGGGTTTGATTTGATGCTTCTAGTTTCTTTATGGATGATCTATGTTGCATATGAGACTAGGTGGGTCTACTGTCTTCCATGGATACTTAGTTGACGTTTAGGAATGTGGGCTGAAATGAGTTGCTCTTACATTGATAAATCCACGTAGTTGATTAATCCATGCTATTATGAATTTATTGTTGGCTTTCTCTATTTACGTATGCGGATTTCCTTGTCATATGCAATGCTCTCTAGCAAGATAACTCTAGGAACCAATCGTGCTATTCTCTAAGGGCATCTTCAACTGTACGCCAAACATGCATATGGCGTCATTCGGTCGCTCCAGCGGAATGCAAAATCTTCCGCGATTTGCTTGCGGGTGAACAGCGCGACGCCAATATTGGCGTGGCACTGCTCACCTACGTGATTTTTTTGTCTCAACCGGATTTGCCGAAGAAACATGCGAAAGAGGGGAAAGACGGTTACCTTCGCAGAAGTGCGCAAATTAGAGTTTGATTGGAGATGAATCACGATATTTTTTAATTTCACTGCATTTTGGAGTGAAAAATGGTATTTTTGGTTGGAGATGCCCTCAAGCATGTGGGCGGCTTAGCAAGGTCAAATACTCGTTAGCAGAGTGTGAATCTTTACGTTTATGCTATGAAACCAGAAAAGAGAGCTATTTCCTGTTGAAAATGTTTGCCTCTGTTATAGTTTATACTATTACTTTCAGCTAAAGTTTCCCGTGGACAAGTGCACTATTTGGACATAGCTCTTCCTTTTAAGGGCTAATTTGTTGCTATACTTAGTGTAATATTTTTCAAAAATTTGGGTTAGCATGGATTTTAGTATAATCTACTTTTTATCATTAAAGATGATGCTTGAGGCAAATCAAGACCAAGTAACTTAAGAGGACTTGAATGCCTATTTTTGTATAGAAGGCATAACTTAGAATGCTTGCATAAAATTTCTCAAAGCATTACTTTTTGAAGCAGTTATATTCGCTTGATTTAGTTTCTTAGATTGTTCTGATTAGCTAAAGCTGTGGCAGTGACATGTAGCACTCAAACAAAACTTTTAGAAAGAAGATTGGATCAATATTTTCCCTTTTTTTTAATAAAAATGTTCATTTGACTATTTTTAATTATAAGAGTAAGTTTTTTAAGTTAATGAGCTTCTTTATTAATCTGAATTATCTCGTCAGTTTCCCTTGGGCTTTTTTAGGAATTGTGGTCGTTCATGCTCAAATTGCCAACTTAAATCACATTTTCCATTATGAGTCACTCCAAGTTTATCTAACATCTCTCTCCTCTACCCTTCGTGTTTGGAAATATGTTTTATACTGTAGAAATATTTCACAAATGTTGCATTTTTTTAGGTCTGACACATTTTAATCCATGGGGATCCTCGTAGTTCTTCATAGTTTACCATGGTTATGTTTGATGAATAGATATTAGTGTTCTATGCCTAGATATTCAACTTTCAAAGCAAATAAATGGCTGGTTCAGATTTAGTAATTAGAATATTGTGCTGATATGAATAGTGAAATTTCTTTTCAAATTGCCTTTTAAAGCATAGTTATACTTGTTTTAGAAAATCATTCTATGTCATTTCAACCTATTCTCTTTGCCATCATTCTCCCTTTCAATTATTCTCCCTTTTCCTATGGACAATTGTATCCATCATTTCATTAGTAGCCCAATTCTTGCCTCAATGGCCATCTGCTAGGTAATTAAATGATTTACATATCATCTACTCTTAAGGTGGTTTTGATGATGACTTTAAAGATTTTAGTACTTATTCGGGCCAAGGTTTAAAATTGCGTAATTAAGCCTCGAGGCGGTTTTCGTCCGTGAGGCGAGGCGTAAGCCTCGAGGCGGTCTGAGGCGTAAGCCTCACGGACACAGAATTGCGTAAATGAGAAATTAAGAATTTTAGCAGGTAAATAATAGCAATATTCTATATTACAATAAAAACATCTAAATGATATATGAAAATAGTGGAAAGTAAGAAAATAGATGCAATAAAATCTTGTCCCAAAGTACAAAATGACGTATTCGCCTTTTCTTTGCCTCTAACCATGTTTTCTAAAGCAAAAATCCAAAAACAATAAAAAAAACATAAACCCTAGATTTTCTTACACTTGAAAAATATAACCCTAAACAAAAAAAACCTAAAATCAATTGTGGAGTACTCCTAGAGGGCGGCCGGACACTTCAACTTCGCCGGAGAGAGGCGGCGCCAGCGGGAGAAGCGGCGGGAAGGGAAGCCGACGGGTGCGGGAGCTCTCTGTTTCGCGAACACAGTGTGCGGGAAGGAAATTCTCGGGAGAACTGGTGGGAGTCGTGCGGGATTAAGAAAGAAAAAGTCTTCATTTTAAGTGGGTGTGCCCGTTTCCATGAGGCGTACGCCTCTACCAGAATTGCACAATTGCGTCTCTGAGGCGCGCCTCAGTCCAAGTGAGGCGTACGCCTCTGCCAGGAGAGGAATTGCGTAAGCCTCGAGGCGGTTTTGGGTCAAATTGCGCAGAGGCGTGCCTCAAGGCGCGCCTCTTATTGCGCAATTTTAAACAGAGATTCGGGCATATGTTATGATAATGGATGCTCTTGACACCAAGAAGTTTGTACATCTACCTCAGTAACGTGCTTGTGTCATCCTTGTAAAAGTTTTTTTACACTATAAATGAGAGGAACTTCATTTATGTTGGTTTGAGAAAATCATTCTTTGTTATTGCAACGTTGCTCTTTTTCCCACCATTCTTCCTTTTAGTCATCTATTTTTTTCACATGCATATATTTCTGAGTTTATTATTAAGCCATATTTTTACCTCTATGGACAATTTCTTGTGACTTGATCATTTTCCTTGTATCTGCTACTCTTGAGATCAATACTAATGAAGACTTTAAAGTAGTTAGTGCTTATTTGGATGGATATGATGGAAAAAACTCTTTTTGATACCTAGAATTTGTGAATTCATCATACTAATGTGCTTGTTTCATCATTTTTCTTTTCATTTTTTTGTACCATCAACTAGAGGAATATACCCCATTATTTTCTGGCAATTAATAATAGTCGACAAAGCCTTATATATATATATACAACTTAGGCTTTGTAGAATAAAGACCGAGTATTTAATATATCATTTGTTGGTATGAAATTGATAATCATTTGCCTCATTATTTGAATGAAGTTACACTTTGGTGTGGTATGTTTAAATACTTTGATTTAATATTTAGGATAGTTGGAATATAGACAAAGATATGACTTTAATAGGTATGATCGTGTGTTTAAAATGGATAAGTTTCTCAACATTCATTTGTGAAAAGGGAATTTAATTGACACTTAAAATGAATATTTATGAAACTATGAGTAGCATCTATGTTATATAGATTCAATTGTTTGATGATAAACGGGGCATTGCCAAGTTGAGTATAGGTGAAATGAGAATGCTAAGATGGCTATGTGGCGAAACTAAGTATAAAAGTTATTAAATGAGAGATTTCCTGGGTCGTATCTATTGAGGATGTGATAGTGGAAAGCAGACTTCTGTGGTTTGGTGGTATATATAAGAGAGGATAGAAGATTCACCAAAAAAGAATGAAATTAATGTTGAAGGGCTAGGAAAGCAATTTTGTTTGACCGAATGTTATCACATGGAAGTTGTGCAAAATGATATTTACAAAATTGATTTAACATCTCATTCAATACTCATCATTAATTATTAAATAATAAAGATCAATAAAGCTGACTCCTAATAGTTAAGATATGGCTAATGATGCTGTCAAATGAACTTAAACCCAAATATCCTTCCATATTATGAAATGAGGTTTGTATTAGAAAATTTTAAGTATCCTATTGTAGTGCATTGAGTATTAATTGCTCATTTAATTGTTTTTTTATTAGATTGTGATTTGTGACATTTCTATGGTTAGGCCTCTTGATGGGGACATCAGTTGGAAAGTCTACCGACGACGTGGCCGTAGATCTATGGCCACGATTTACCCGATGTATTTCTGATTTTAGTATTGTCATTTTATTTTGATGTATTTTATTTCTGCATTTTCCCTTTTTTACCCTTGCTTGAGGGATTGAGTCATGTAGCCCTTGAGGGTATTTGAGTCCTTTTATTTTATGTCATTGTATTAGGCTATTTATAGCCTTCATCTTGTACTTTTGATGGTTAATGAATGATATTAAGAAATTTCATGCATTTGTCTTCTTGAAGCTTTTGTGAGAGCTTGAGAGAGAGTTGTGAGTTTGGTGGAGCCTAGGAAAGGCCACCCGTCGTACCCAACAGTCACCTCCGGTGGCTCTTGGTCTATCTCCCTTCTTTCTTTTCATTTACCCCAATATCCACCTCCGGCCATTCCCCACCACCAACCTCCACCTCCTAATCGCACCCGCTCAAGCTCAACCTCACCATATCCTTAAAACCCCCACCTTCCCATCATCCCGCCGGCCTCCACCCTAACCGCCGGCCTCCACCCTAACCGCCGGCCTCCCCTTCTTCCACCACCATCCCTTCCACCAATCACCGGCCCCCCTTCTTGCTTTCTCCACTAATTTTGAATTTCAAAATTCAAAGTGGAAGTTTCCAAATTTGTCCAACACCAAATTAGGAAAGTTTCAATGAGAATTCAAATTTCAAATTTGAATTTGAGCGGATTTGAAATTTTCATCATTAATTAGTCGGAGCGGATTTGGAAACGCATAACTCCTTTTCCCCTAACCCCCACTCCCTCTCTCCATGCTGCCGGCCTCCCATGTGGTCCCCTCCCTTTAATGCTCCATTAAAACTCTTCATTACTTGGTTTTGAAAATTCAAATCTCAGATTTTTCCCTCCTCTTTCACTTAAAATCTGAGAATATTTTTTTGGTATGAAGATCTAATATTATTTCTTCATCCCATCTAGTCTTTTCTTAACCCTAGCCTTTTCCTCCCTCCCACCGCCATATCTCTCTCTCCTTCTCTAGTTTGTTCTCCCTTTACATGATATTGATTCATGGTCGACTCGAAGGGTGATTTCGACTTTGCATCCGACGGCCAAGGCGTTGTGGATCTTCTCCCCTTCCCGTCGTTGGCGTGATTTCAATCCTTGGCGGATCCATAGAGATATCTTCTTCCCGTAGTACTTGTTGAAAGGGACCAACGAAAGGTGCATGGTAATTCACAACGTCTCTCCGGAAAGGTGATCTTCTTCCTTGATTCATTTTCTTTCAAATTCTACTTACTTTTATGAGAGTTTGTTCACGCAAGAGATTGTGTCTACCAATCGCCATCCATTAGTAATCGTAGGTTTGTTACTTCTTGTCTCTTAGATCTAATTGTTATAGTTTGGTTATGTTGGAAACTACTACTTATGCAATGTTTTAATTTTCTAAGTGTTTTGATTTGGTTTAGTCTCTTGTGTCGCTTGGCCTAAATGGGATTGACCATTTATGAGTTTTACATTGTTGTTCTAATCACTATTAACGAAAATCTGAAATTGTTCTTAATTTATTTTGTGCAAGTTTCCGATCTTTGCATGTAGTCCTGCATCACCTCTGGACTTGTCAGCAATGCATGCTCTGCTCTTTTGAATGATTAATCTCTAGTAAATAAACAGATTGGAGTGGTGTTTATTTTATTAATTTATGGTTTTTAATGGTTGCTGTAAATGTGCACTTGAGTGTTGTGTTGATGTATTTATGCTTAACCTGAGCGATTCCTGATGTTTGAGTACTTATTTTTGTTTTATGACAAGAAATTAATTCCCAAAGGGTTGATATTTTACATGTTTTGTATTTTTATAATTTATAACCTCATCAAAACTGATAAAGAAAATGTCTGCAGAACTCTTACCTAATAACCTCTATCGTGATCCTTAGAACTGCATCAGTGTTAGGAGTACTGATGCTTGAATGCGGCAGATGCTAATTATGCGTATTTATTTTTGTTGCTTGACAAGAAAATTAAAAATTCAGTACATTATTGTATTAGAACTGCAACCCCTACAAACCTGTTATGAAAATTGTGCCTATGCAAGATCAATGCTATGTATTTCATGTCTTGCTTTCTTTGTTGAAAGATAATTTTTAATCAAAGAATTTGATTAACTTCTCTTCAGTTTATCTATCATTTGACTCGTTGACCCTGTCATATGCTTATTCTGAATGGGAAATACCCAAAATTGTTCTTCATAAAGGAATACACTTGCGTCATTTTTTGACTTGCTGTTGTTTAAATCCCCAAGTTTCACCTTTTCTTGCTTCATTTAATTAGTAGGGGCGAGGTTACACTTTTTTTTGCATGGGCATGAATTATGCCGATAGTTGATTAAAAAATAGTATATGCAATGAGGTGTTAGAATGGATTTTCAAGGGAAATTATACTACAATTATCTTGAATATTTTTTCTTCCCATTTTCTTGTTTATAGCCTAATCTTCCCCTCTTCTTGTTGAATGTTAATATTTTAATTTTTAATGAGCATGCTAGGTTATTGTTGCAAGGGCATGAATAATTATGATAATTGATAAAATTAGTATATCCAGATATGTTAGAATGGGGTTTTCAGGGAAGTTATACGATCCATATGGTAACCTTGAATATTTTCCTGCTCTCTCCTATTTGTCCCCCGAGCTCCCTTCTCGCTTATTATTAATTATTTGTTTTAGATATATGGAAATTGCTCATGATAATTGATAAATAAGTAGTAGTTCTGGGATGTTAGAATGGGTTTGTTAAGGAAATCACATCACCCATATTCTAACCTTAAATATCATTTGCTCACTCTCTCCTGTTTATATCAGTTTTTGTTAATCCCTCCCAATTTTTTTTTACTAATGCACCCATCCCTTTACAATTTTTTAGATAAGCTTGAGTTTGTGTTGTAATTTCGTCTTCGTTAGCCTTATCCTAATTATTTTGAGTTAGTTTTATGAATGCTATTTATTTCATTCATCCATGTTAAGCGTTGTTTGACATTTATTCCATATAAAACCAATCATTAATTTTGTTCTATTTTTTATTAAAGTAGTGTATGAAAGATTGTTTGTCATCAATCTTCTAAAGGGTTAAGCATGCTAATTTATTTAGTTGATTGATGTCTATACTCTATAGTTGGGTTATAGGAAGCTTATGTGTAGTCCCATATATGAAATTATGAATGCAATGAAATCTCATGCTACACCTTGTTTTACAATGCCCAATGTTAAACCCTTTTATTGCAAACCCACTAAAATATGTTCTAGTTAATTTGATCCCATTGCCATCTCTCTAGTTAGAAAGGAGTTGACGAATCTTTATTTCTTCATGAAGAGTGCGCCAATGGATAGAACGGTTTTCATTCTAGCTTTATATTGCTTTTCTACATTTTTTCTGATTGTTTTTTTTTTCTTTGCAAGTTATGCTGGTATTTCAGATATTGCATGTCTTGTTGCTATATTCTGGTATAGCTTATTTTTATCTATTGAATATGTGAAATATTCGGCCTTTTGCATTGTCTATTGTCAGCAAAAAGCTAACTAGTTCCTGCTTGGCGTAACCTCATGCCACAAGTGTTGACTTCAAGCTGAAATTTAAGCCCCATTTTTTGATGATGCAGGAGGAGTTTGATACTTATGATCACAATGTTCATTGGTTTTTAAAATTACAATTTCTCAAGAAGAGATCTAAGATTATAGAGATTGTTGCGGCAAAGGATGTCATATTTGCTCTTGCTCAGTCTGGTCTCTGTGCAGCCTTTAGTCGCAGTAAGCTGTTCAGGTTCTCTTCTGTTTTTTGGTTGATCTGTCTTCAGTTCTGATTGACATATTGTGTTTTTTTTTTTTTGTTTTGTTTGCAGCATCTAACAAACGCATTTGCTTCTTGAATATAAGTCCTGATGAAGTAATTAGAAGCCTTTTCTATAATAAGAACAACGAATCATTGATTACAGTATCAGTTTATGCCTCTGACCACTTCAGTTCCTTGAAATGCCGGACCACTCCAATAGAGTAAGATGCTTTTTTTTTTTCAAACATGCTCGAGGTACTATACCCCCATATTTTAATGGCTTTTGACTGTCCGTTTTGATGCATAATTGTATTTTTTCCAAATGCATGAATCACTTGTTCATATCTTTGTTAGAATGTTATAAAAATTTTAAAAATAGATTTGTTGGACAATTCTTACATCTTTGGTCATTTTATGTAAGCCATATTTGGGCTTTCTCATTGTTTCAAAAGTTTTTTATTTTTTTGCTTTCACTGTATAATAAATATTGTGAATGCTAGAAAAAGCTCTCTGCAGTAGAATCTAGTGTTATCGAATGTTAACCAGTGCCCACCGTGTGCTTCTTTATTTTCTGTAAAGTTTATGGATTATGAGTATGTTGGTTCTTCCTGATCAATACACTCATATCATCATTGAATTCTGGCAGATATATAAGGAGAAATCAACTTGATGCTGGATTCCCTCTTTTTGAAACCGAATCTCTAAAATGGCCAGGTTTTGTTGAATTTGATGACGTGAATGGCAAAGTTCTTACCTATTCAGCTCAGGACGGGTAAGCTATATTGTTGATCTAATAAAAGAGATGATAATTCAACTTATTGTAGTGAATTCCTGAATTTGTGCATTCTTTCTCAGAATATACAAGGTTTTTGACCTAAAGAACTATTCCTTTTTGTACTCAATATCCGATAAGAATGTACAGGAGATTAAGATCAGGTTTGATGCTTCCAAACAATTACCTGTTTTAAACTCACTATGCTTTTTAATACTTTTTAACATTTCTTTTAACTTCTAACTATTGATTATTTCTCACAGTCCAGGAATCATGCTATTGATATGTCGTAGAAATCCTGGTTATGTTCCATTAAAGATACTTTCAATTGAAGATGGCACAGTTTTAAAATCTTTCAATCACTTGTTACACCGTAACAAAAAGGTCGACTTCATTGAGCAGTTCAATGAGAAGCTTCTAGTCAAGCAAGAGAATGAAAATCTTCAGATCCTAGATGTAGAAAATTTTCATTCACACCTCCTATTTAGTTGATTTTTTCGAGCTACATTTTCTCACTCTTCCTAAATTCTATCAGGTTAGGAATTCAGAACTAACTGAAGTGGAAAAGACACAATTCATGACTCCTTCGGCATTCATCTTCCTGTACGAAAATCATCTTTTCCTGACATTTAGAAGCAGGACCGTCGCTGTGTGGAATTTCCGGGGAGAACTGGTCACCTCTTTTGAAGACCACTTGTTGTGGCACCCTGACTGTAATACGAACAACATCTATATTACCAGTGATCAGGATTTGATAATCTCTTACTGCAAATCAGAAGAAGGATGTGAAGATGAAGGTGAAGGTATATACATGCTTATCTGATTTTTCTACGTTTCTATATATATAATAATTTATATGGGAAATTTACATGCATATCACTTTATACCATCCTATTTATATATTTAACACCCAAAATTTTAATATTACATACATACCATCCTATATTATTTTAATATCAATTATACCACTCATATTTCCTTCCTACTACTCATAATTTCATTTCTATCGCGCATATTTGATATGAAAACAATTGTTTGCCATTCTTCCGTCGCTCCAACCGAGCGGCAATTCTTACTTCATTTCATCGCGGATGCACAGTGCGACGCCAATATTGGTGTTGCACTGTTTATCTTTGCCATTTTTTGGTCTCTACCGAACTTGCCGAAGAAACACGCGAAAGAAGAGAACGACCGTTACGGGGCAAAATGGAGTTTGATTGGAGATGAATCACGACATTTTTAAGTTTCACGGCATTTTGGAGTGAAAAATGAGATTTTCGGTTGGAGATGTTCTAAAGTTTTAGCTATTAAATATGTAAATAGAATATTATAGGATGATATATATGTAAATCTCCCTAATTTATAATCAAGGATTAGCTCTGAAATATGGAGAATAGTTATCTCTGCAGCTTCTGCAGTTGGATCCATCAACATGAGCAATATCCTTACTGGAAAGTGCATTGCGAAAATATCGGCAAATGACCCTTTAATCCAGACGAGTCCACGTAAAAGAGGAGATGCCAGTAGATCTTCCATTAGATGTAGTGTTCGTGAAGCCCTTGAAGATGTTACAGCTTTGTTCTACGATGAGGATAGGAATGAGATCTACACTGGAAACAAACAAGGATTGATACATGTCTGGTCAAATTAGCTTACTTTTTTTCCTTGTAAACATGGAAATCAAGTAATTTACCTGTAAGATATGTGCCAATTTTTCTTAGAGACAAAGGTGGCCGTTCGTTTTAGGTTAATTAGGATTTGTATAATTGTTATTTTTGTCATTTCTGAACTTTGAATAGTTTGATTGCGCACTTAGTAATGTAATATTGACCAAGCAATGTGCTGTATGATAGTTGGAACTGGTAGCTTAATGATGTTTATTTTGAGAGCAGATAGGGAGAGGTTGTTTACTTGTTTTATGTAGCTTTAGTTTATCTTTTGTTTTGCGATATTTAGAATATTGTTTGTAATTACTCCTAGCGTGCGTCAACTGCAATCAGCCTTTGCTTGAACTGGCGCAATTGTTGATTAGACAAGTTTCTAAAGTGGAGGAAAAATTTATTCTGTGCGCTGAGATCAGAAGGAGAGAACTGTCCGAATTTGTTGCTTTTTAGTTGTCTTTTTGTTGTGCTTTTACAAATACTCAATAAAATGACAGCAAATGCGTATTTATAATTATATTTTTGTTGTCCTTTTGTTGAGTATTTAAAAATGTACAACAGTTAAAACACAACAAATATTCAATTAGTATGATATTTGATGCGCTTTAGTTCTCCTTTTGTTATATTTCTGCAAATATTCAATAAAATGACAACAAAAGTGCAATTTTACTGAGTATTTGTAAAAGCGTAGTAAAAGAGCAGCAAATTTGAATGATTCTCTTTGTTTGATCTCTGTATAGAATAATCTCTCTTTAGATCAATCTTTTCAATCATTTTGCTATGTCATATTAGTTGCCAAAGCAGACAGGCGAAGTGACTACTGACTTCAGGCTACGTAGGGTATATGTTTGAGTGAACAGCTATTGCTTCATAATGTCTTTATTTTTGCTTTTCAAAGCAAGTTCATTATTTTTTATGATTTTTGAAATAAATATCAAAGAAAAATTTAGTGTTGCACAAATCATTAGCAAGATCAGGAATGGCTTGGTAAAAATACATTTCAATGCTTCAATTATATACAACAAAGATAAAACAATGCAAAAATTTAAGGAAAAAAGAAAAAAGAAGAAAGATAGGCAAGAATAACAAGGGCTGAAATTGTACCAGAAAATACATAGAATAAAGTCTACAACTTATATAACGCTAAAAAATGAAGATATAGGATTCATAAAATAACCCACAACTCTCTGGAAACATAAAAACAATCTCTATTACATATTGCTAATAGATGTACAATTCTAGCTGTATGTATTGGGCAAACCATGAAAGACAAGCACAGTCCCCATTGTGCATTTCTTTTTCTTTTTATTTGATGCACCTTATATTTAACTAAGGTTTTGTTTGGGGCTGCTTTCATACTGCTTCTTAAAGCAATTTTTTAGTACAAAAATTAAATTTTTTTGTACTAAAAAACTGTTTTAAGTAGTAAAAAAGCCGTCCCAAATGAAACCTAAGTGTGGTGCTGAGAGAAAAGTTCCCTATTGAAGCCATCAGCCTACTAAAATTGGGTACAAATTCTCACCAAATAATACACTTTGCCATCAAATGTAGATCGTGCCCTTACTAAACTAACAGCAATTTGTAGTTCTTCATGTCTTTTGATGGCTGTGCACTATATGCATTCAAAGGCGGCAAATTCTTTCATAATGTGAACTGCGGTTGCTGAGCAGAGAATTCCTGCAGTTTAATAATCAATGAACAAAATTATGTTTTTTTTTTTTTAAGAAGATATAAATCTATCTCATATTTTCATTACAAAATGCAATGTCAGTATAAATATAAGGTAGGCAAAAGATCATTATAGAAATTAAATCTATGTATATCTAAGAAAATTCACCTTAGTTGTGTCCACTAAGCTAAAGGCTATTTGGTAAGCAAAAGTTGCTGATTACACATCCTTATGGTGTATTTAGGGTTTGATATGACCCTAATTGTACTGCAATTTTACATGGAAACCCTAGACACGGTTGGAAGGCATGCTACTGGTGAAATTTACTGCAAATGTTTCAAAGGAGAATGACAAAAAATATTGTTGAAACAACAATCATTCATAGAGGTAATGAAGCAAAAAAATAAAGACTAATGATAAGATTACAAATCAAGACTCTGCAGGGCTGCGCATCATGTGTACCTCACCATACAAGTCATAAATGACCCATAATCATTTTAAAATTATGAAAGAATAATTAAGAGGCTTAAATTAAGATCATTTGATGAGTAAGTAGGTGGGCCATACAAGTCAAGCAGGCAAACATTTTTATAAATGGCTTGATTTCAGAATTTGCTTGTCTTGTTTGGCCAATAAAAATTTTAATGTATTTGGAAGCTTTAATCTTTATATTATCTTTTATTTTATTTTTCTTTGTAATAGAACAAGCCATCAATCCATATATTAGTATTTTATTAGCTCCTAAAGCTTTTCAAAGCTTTCTAAGTTTGGAAAAATTTTATAAATTAGATATTGCTTTGCACATTTTGATTCATTGAATAAAAATTATTTTTTGCATGTGTAAATTTTGTGGGAAAAGCTTGGCGGCTGCTCTACTCTTTGGTAAAGTTTGGTGGTTGACCCCTAGGGCTTTGGTGAATCCGTAATTATATTTTCTTGCTATTTTTTCTTATTATCTTTCCCACATAAATTTAATCTTGCCTACCTATCTTTGAGCCTAGCGTCCCTCAACACCAAAATATATCCAACCTCTTCAAAACACTCCTAAATATTCTCCCACATCCTCATAACCTTCCAAGGCCTCAACTCCCCACTAATGCTAGAATATCCTAACCAAATCTCAATATAGCGAAACAATTTCCTACTATAAGCAATCGAATTAGCAATCAAATTAGATATATCATAACTCCTTAATCAATGATACAAAATTCCTAATATTCAAAATTTCTAATTCAAAACTACTCTTTATTTTCTCGAAGGAAAACTTATCCTTTGATAGCTCAGAAGTTTCAAAACCAAATTATGAATACCCATTTTATCACAACCCAAATAACCCTTTCACAATTACCCTAAAAAGATACTAATCAAGTTATTGCCTTCACAATAAAGACCCTACATCAGAAAATAGGAATATTATCTTAATCACTATTTCCGTGGTCATGCAAATTTAAGCATGTCCTGTTAATGATTCTAGGTTTATGTTACCATTTTTAACAAAATATTTGAGCAGGAATTAAAGTCGTTGAAATTGCAGACACCAATGGAGGACTGGAAGCTCTCACTTATGGCTAAGTCCATAGACATGCGTGTGAACTTGAACTTTGAAGGGAGTTTGGGAACATAAATGAGAAGGAAATGATCTAGGAAGGGGCTAGTTTGGTTCATAAATTTTTTGTGAGTGTGTGTGTGACACGTGTGTGAGAGAGAGAGAGGTTTTGCCAAACTAATGAAAGGAGACGACTGCTCAAGTCAGAAAAAAAAATCCTTAAGAGACATTGTAAATACCGTAAAATTAAAAGCAAAACAATCTACTTCTAAAATAAAAAATATATATATATATAAGGATGGGTAGTTTTTACCTGACCCAAATGAGAGTTTGTATGAAATGGATGATGCAGGTCAGAGGCTGGAGAATCCTAAAGCTCATAAGAAAATAATTTCAGTAAGCATAAAAATAAACATGACATGCTCTGATACATAGCATCATCGAGGCTTACTTGGTTGAAATGGTTCAAGCCATGAAACCCCTGGTGCTGACCATATAATGCCATGGGAGCATGCATCGATGTGGATGTAGGAGATTTGGGTTCAGACTCATTTGTAGCCAACTGACCATCCTTTTTCTTCCCCATTTTTGCTTCCTTTGTCCATCTCTTCAAAAAATATTTCAGTGGTAACTCTTTAATATTTCTAAAATCAAGCACTTTCAACGCATGGCAACATTGAATTCCCATGAATTCAAACTTTTTGCAATTACATGCAACAGAACAGTCACTTGAATCAAATCTGACATAATGTTCTTTAGGTTTCTCAGTGACCGCAACTTTATAATCGGAAATTGTATCAACCTCACCACAGCTGAATAACATACAATCCATGAACATCTCAAACTCTCTCCGGAATATTTCAAACACCACAGGTGTATAGAGATTAGCAGCTTGCCTCAACATCTTTGAAGGAGGAATTCTCGGGAAACTTTGGCTTGCATGGAAGTCAGCTTGTAGCTCTGAATAACGATGCTCTTCTACTACTCTTTCATAGTGCTTGAAAAATGACAAAAGATCGAGCTGCGGACTCAGGTATTTTTTCAGCACACTACTTAAACTTTCATTCCTAAGAGTGCTTTTAATATCAGCACAAAAGATATGGCGATTATATGCCAAAGCCCATTTCTCTCTGTCTTCAAACAACTTACAAAGCCACTCATTGTTTTGGAGGTCATACTTCTCCAACATTGTTCTCCATGCTAACAAGAAGTCTTCCTCTTCTTCATAATCATAGACGCATCGGCTAAAATCCTTCGCAAAAGTCTTCGAACCTTGAAAAACCTGATTGAGGTGCTTGGCAGCATTCTGGTAGACATGCCACTCACAAAGTCGATGATTTGTTCCTGGCCATACTGCAGCTATTGCACTACTTAATGTGATTGATAGGTCTGTAAGTATTGTCTTTGGCTGCTTTCCACGCATTGCAATTTTGAATGTCTCAAATAGCCACTTAAAAGATTCAGTAGATTCATCATAGAGCAAAGCTGCACCAAAGATAATCGTTTGTTTATGATGATTAACTCCAAGGAATGGTGTGAATGGTCTTCCATAACCATTTATTTTGAATGTTGTGTCGAAACATACAACATCACCAAAGCAGTTAAAATCAACCACAGATCTTTCATCAGCCCAGAAAATATTGGTCAGTTTATCATCCTCATCAACCTGTATAGCATAAAAGAAGGATTGACTATTAAGTTGCATGTTTTGCAAGTATTTCAACACAGAACCAGCATCTCCCATCTGCATTGCTTTCATACGCTTTGAACTCAGATAATTTTTGTAATCTGAAGGAAGAAAATTAACATTACAAAAACCACCAACTTGTCTCCCCATAGACTCATTGGCAGATCTAGGTGTTGCTCCTGAATCATCTGACAACTCTGCATCAGCAGCTTGAACCTCCATTGTTATCCTTTGAGACCTTAGCAGGTGTGTACTTGATGGCGGCGCAGGCTGATGGTTATGTTCTGCTATGAATTCAGTAACACGGTAGTTACCTGTTGGTGTAATTTTAATTGTCATGCGTGCCGGACAGCCAATCCTAGTCTCAGGTCGTGGTCTCTTCACTTCCTTGGCGCCTTTCTTGTCTTTGCGAAATCCTTCCCTTGAGCAAACAAAAGTTCTGGATCTAGTGATATTTTCAGAGGACTTATCCGATGAACTTTTCCTGACACTGAAACCAATAAATCCTGCATACTTGTTATAGAATTCATATGCCTTGTCTTCACTTTCGAATTCCATATCAATTTCTGGAACCATTTGTGCAGTTCCATCTTCTCTATGAATATCAGATTCAATCACTTTCCGCATTTTACCCTGTTTATTCAAAGTCTAGAATAACCATCATTTAGGAATGAATTAGGCAAGTCTGTTACCATGTTGCAAATAGAATAGGATACTAGATAAGAATATCAAATAGAAGAATCTTGAAAGATTTTAAACGTGCTATTTTAGCATAACAGTTTGATGCAGGCCATGCACTTCAAACAACAAATGTGCTCTTCATATGACGTTTGAACAAGAAGGCTCAAACCACCAAAATGCCCATGAGAAATTAGGTGTATCAAAACTTTGTCTAGACTAATTATAATTGCATGAATAACACATTTCTTTGACTTCATAAAGTTTGGTACAACTCTAAATTCGGACAACAGTTTATTTTCAACCTTTTTTACAGGCTGAATTGCAAATAAACCTCATGAAGGACTAGCACATGGTAACCCACTAATGCATCCAAATATAATACGAAATTCATCTTGGTACACTAGTCAAGGTTTAAAATTACGTAAATAAGCTTCGAGACGTTTTTCGTCCCTGAGGCGAGGCATAAGCCTTGAGGCGTAAGACTCACGGACGAAGAATTGCGTAAATACAAATTTAAGTATTCTAGCAGGTAAATAACAGTAAGAATCTATGATATAATAAAAACATCTAAATAAGAAGTGAACTTAGTGGAAAACAATAAAATAGATGCAATATATGCATCTAACATAATTCAAGTGCAAAACTACAAATTGAAGTCTATTAGAACTCTCAAAGTACAAATAAAAAAGAACATCTAAAATCCAATCATGTCTCATCACTAAATGAGTCTTCAGTGGAGGCATATTCATCTCTAATTATATCTATGAATGTCAAATCTTCATCATCTTCAATCTTACCCACTTTTTTTTCTTCTTGTTCAATAATAATGATTAGTGTGTTGTTAATTACATATATCTTAAATTTAATAGCACATAAGATATTGTGAGATACCTTTGTTTGCTTGTTGTGCTGCAGTACTAGTGGATGTGTGTGGTGTGATACAAGTGGATGTGTCCTCTTGATCTGCTTCGTCCCTCAAGACATCCACACTTAGATCATCTAGTTGCATGTCTGATAATGGCAAATCTATCTCATCAAATTGCTCATATTGTAAATGTTTGGCTGTTGTACTCTTCTTCATTTAAGCAGTAATTTCCTCCTCTACCTTATCCAGCACATTCGCACATGGTGCTACGTTTTTATGTGAGTTGGATGTTGACCACCGAATACAGTGCCAAAACCCAGCCTAAAACTCGCTGAAAATCCCAGAAATCCCATCAAAACCACTGTATACATGGCGCCATTTGCGTCTATTCCCGCAAATCCTGCGACGACAGCCTCGATCGCTACCCTTCATGACCTTTAAAATGAGAACGATGCTCCCATTTATTCCCGCTGGTTCCCCCCACACGATCTCAAACCCAAAGCCACGACCGTATCTCCCTCTTCCCACTCTGTCGCAAGCTCTCGACTCCAAGCCACGGCCGAACTCCCACTCCCGTCACTACATCCTTGATCCCGATCTCCCCTCTTGCAACCGAACTCTGTCGAGCTCCCTCCATCCCGATCCTCTCGGTTCCTTCAGTCGGAGAGAGAGAGAGAGAGAGAGAGAGAGAGAGAGAGAGAGAGAAGGCCGACCTCTTGAAGCCCTAGACCCACCGACTCCTCCGACGGCTCTTCCTCCTATTAGATCGGAAGTTACACCATTTTGATCGCAAGCAACAAAGGAACTCACTAGCTATGAAGGTAACTCTCTCCCTTTCACACTCATTCGGCCAAATCCCATAAACTAGAGAAGGGAGAGGGGGGATTTTGTTTATTTATTATTATTATTTAATTATCATAATTTTAAATTAATTAAAATAATATTAGTTATAATTAACTTAATTTAATTATAATTTAATTATAATGAATTATTTTTAATTAATTTAAACAAAGAAAAAAGGGGGAAAATCTCCTTCCCTCCTCTTGCCTCGATCCGCGTGCCAACACCACAACCCCGCGAAGGTATGAATTTTCTTAAACTCAGAGTCTCGCTCTCGAAGTTAGCAGCAGATCGGAAAACCGCCCATACACGCCTTTATTGCGCGTGGTGGGATGGGACCCCTGTGCGGCGCCTACGACGAGGCGGGTGATCATCTTAAACTCAAAAGTCCGTTCTCGGAGTTCGCGGCGCACCGGAAAACCGTCTATACACGCCTTTATTGAGGGTGGTGAGATGTAACCCCAGTGCGGCGCCTACGACAAGGCGGGTATTCACCTAAAAGCTCCATTTCAAAGTTCGTGATGCAACGAAAAATTGCCTATACACGCCTTTATTGCGCGTGGTGGGATGAGACCCCAGTGCGGCACCTACAGCGAAGCGGGGTTACTCATAAGTACCTCCGAGCAGGGGGAAAACAAACTGCTTTTTAAAACAGGTACTGTCAAAGACCCCATACATGCCTTTATTGCGCGTGGTGGGAAGAAAGATCACGGCCGTGGTGTCCTCGTCCGAGGACGTCTAACATACACGCCTTTATTGCACGTGGTGGGAAGGCCCAATTTCTCGTAGTTTTCCCCTAAACGGGAGAGATGCCAGGAGGCTGCCGAAATTTCGGGTGAACACAAGGCAGTACCTGAACTTGATTGAACAAGGGACTTAAGTGAACTCAATCTTAAGTGTATATAAAAGATAACATAAGCCTGAATTGAACGAGAAATTATTCTGTAAGTAATCCGAACGCGTTCGGATGCTGCATATTTACTGCTTATTGTGTTGCGTATTTTTTGATATCAAATTTTTTCGTGTTAAAAAGCAACACATAAATAATACTCACTAAATACTCACTAAATACACAATTAATACGCAAAAAATACGTAGAAAACATAATGTATCAAAAAATACGTAGTAAAATAAGCAGTAAATACGTAGCATCCAAACCCAATTCTGTGTTCGGACTGCGTACAGAATAATTTCTCGAATTGAACAAGGACTCAAATGATTTGAACTTGAACTCATGCAAAGGACTTGATTTGGACTCAAGTGAACTTGCATAATTTGAACTCAAGTAAAATTTGATTCAAAACCATAGTGGACACGAACTTGACTTGAATCAGATGATGAAGACTTATCGGCTTGCACATTGACTTCAATAAACTGAGCTAAAACTTGTGAACCTTTGGACAAGAATTTGAACTAGATTGGACACATACAAAGGACATGAATTGGGACTCAGCTCAAACTCAAATGAATGAACTATAAGATTTGGACTTGAATGATGAATTGAATTTAAACTTGATCATAATGCCAAGGAACTTGAACTCAAATGAATTATAGGGAACTCGGACTGAAGTAATTACAAAGAACTCGAAGAAGACTTGAATAATTGAAGCTTAAGTTTGAATCATAACTTGGATGAAAAGAGAGAGAGCAAAGACTTGATTTGAACAGAATGCAATAATACTCAGACTTGCATGAACCACGGACAACCAAGCTTTGATTCGATAAATTCACACTCATATAAGATGCAAATGCTAACGAATGATTTAATGAATAATGACTTATAATATCCACAATGACCTGCTTGTAAATGACAACGAGAAACTTATAATGATTAACCATTCATGTACAAGCATAGGTTGAGGACTTGTGGTGGACATGATAATGCGCCTACAAGCGAGGATGTGAACCTATCACATATATAATAGTTCATTTACAATAAGCTATAGAGAGCTTATGAATATTTGTGGATGATCGTAGAAGAGAATGAAGATTAATGAATCTATAACATTCGAACCATTGCAAACAGACACATCAAGCAATAGAAGAGCTTTATTGCATATAATGAATTATCCACGAATGATAGCAATAGTGTGAGGTAATATACCCATGACTAAAGCACTAAAAGGCATACGAACAAGTGTGGCATGCCATCGATAAGCAGAATACAACACATTAATAAAATAAAGAAGACCTTATAATTCATCATGGGGAATCTTCCACGCATACAATATTTAGACTACTAGTAGGAGGGATTCTCTACGAACACATCAACAAGCTTATGAGTGGAAGGAAGAGATGTGTGACAAAGGCAATGACACTCCAATCAGTATGCTCATAATAAAAAATATGAAGCTTCCAGTAGACGTTAGATACCCTAATGCCCATCTAAATGCAAATGCCAGCGAGCAATGCAAGAAGATGCACCTATCTCCTACAAGCAGGGGGAATTCAACATGTGTTAAATTGAAGGAAATGACGTCTTTGAATAATTCAAAAAAATGCAGCTTTCATGCAGTTAATACTATTCAGTCGTAGGCAAATACACTAATCTACCACGGACAAAGATAGAAGATGCACAACAAATTCAAACACCCACTGGTCGTTAAAGTAGATTTGTTGTGTAAACAACAAGTTGTTTACGAGCAAGGGTAGATAATACGCAACCAATACAAAAATCTATGAATCATCGTAAAAGATCTCTTGTGTACTCAATACGTCATCTATAGGGTAAATACAAAAGAGAAATGTGGTAGATATGAGCTCCCACAAATTGCTGTAGAAGACCCGTTATACATCCAATATATTCTCCATAAGCAAAATGCAAGGGACTATGACAAATGCAACTATCCATATGTTAAAGCATGAGATTAGTTAGTGCGCTCTAATCCACATGCAGATAACAACAAATAGTGCACAACAGTCTATCTGCATAAAGCAGCGAATAACTCTATTCAGAAGCTGCTATGCCACGCCATCGGATCTGCAACTTCTATACAAGCAGACAAAAGGCGTCTACAAATGATTTCAAAGTACCCCCGCACGTGCACCGTGGTTTGTATACACATAGGTATGCTAAAAGGGATAAAAGCAAGGTTTTAAAAGGCGAAATTGGGAATCGAGGCGTTTTTTCTAAGCGAGGCGAGGCGTAAGCCTCGAGGCGGATTGAGACGTAAGCCTAAAACGATTAAAATAAATTAATTTAAAATTATAAATAATGACAAAAAATAACAAAATATTATGTCAACTATGAATTTGAAGATTT